AAACCTATAGTGCAATTGTCTCAACAATTGTTTGTAATTTTAAATATATCACGTTTTACTGTAAAGTTCATTCATGTTTATTCACCACATTGAAAATATATAAACACTTATATGTCTAAATAAGTAAATGTAAAGTGAGAAAGAACAAAGGGCAGAATGGTGTTCAGTACTGTCATATGTAAGTTATCAGAATAGCCACAAACATATGTAACCAGCAATATTTCAAATAAAGATACTATATTTTCACCATATAATGCAATAAGAATTTAGGCCAATGTCTCCTAACCATGGTTCTATCATGCTTTTAATACCTTGCTGGATGATGATTGTCTACATTATTGCCCAATACATTTGGGGAGCAGAAAATTGGGAACAGAATACTTGTTTATACAGCTAATTTTATAGTAGCCTTTTCTTTGTTACACTGCAGCAATAGAAGACTGTCTTCAGAACATCTTGGACATTTGATTATGTAAGGTTTTCTAAGCACATTTTAACAATTCTTGAATCTGATTGCAATTGAAGATGTCAACAGTTCACTAACGGTTTGTAGAAGATGCTGATGCCTACTTTTTACCACATCAATTAATATTTTTCTATTACTGCATTAAAAAGTAACTCCTAGCAGATACGTAAGGAGATTCATTTCAATCTAATGAACATGTTCCTACTTACTTATAAGAAAGCTCCATTAAACAAAATAGAAGATACCTCTCTCTCTCTCTATATATATATATATATGTTAGATAACACTTTAAAATCTGATGTAAGACAAAGCAATATGAACATGCATGAGTCAGCCAACTATTTTGGCTGTGTTTGGCGCATGAGTTTTTCTCCTAACAGGATCAGGAAAAAAGATCACTAAATCTACTTCAAAATCTTTTTGATCTGCTAATGGTAATTCATACTTGTCACAGCAGTCATCCATGTACTGTTTATATGGATGTAGACTATACTGACATAGAAGGCATACTGATCTGACTTTCTATTTACAACAGTTATTATGACTAATATTTACATTGCTACTAATAGTTCTTAGCTAGTTCTTTAATAGTTCTTAACTCAACCACATTCTATTTAGGTTGGTTTTATCTTGAGGACATCTCATGAGAGGAGAAAATAAAGATTACTGAAATTCACAGAAGATTTCAGTGTTTTTCTCATGTATTGGATACACATTTCTTTGCCATCATAAAATTTAAATTATATCATCTGCTACTGAAAATTCCATGATGCAACCTCGCATCTTCCGCTTGAAAAGTTTAATTGGACAGACAACCCAAATGTCATACACAGCTTTCTGAGAATCATGGGAGTTGTAGATCCACCTTACAACTAAAACCATAATTTCCGTTATTAAGCAAGGCAGTTAAGTGAGTCATGACCCATTTTTGATCTTTTTGCCATGGTTGTTAGGTGACACACTAACAACCAGTTGTTAAGTTAAGTGAATCATGTGGTCATTAAGTGAATCATGTTTCCCCCATTGATTTTGCTTGTCAGAAGCTTTAGGAAAATGACAATCCCAGGACACCAGGACGCTGCCACCATTGTAAATATATGCTGGTTGGCAAGAACCCAAAGTTTGATCATGTGAATGGGGATGCTGCAAAAGTCATATGTGAGAACTGATCATAAGTCACTTTTTTCAATGCCATTGTAACTCTGAACAGACATTAAACAAGGGGTTATAAATCAAGAACTATCTGTATTTGGATGCAGATTTTTATGAAACCATGTAAAAATAAGCCCAGTGAACCAGGGCCTATGCAGGAAAGCTTTGAGATCTTTGAATGTCCCCTTCAATGGGGAAATTGCTGAAGAACTTCACAGAACTCTGAAACTACATCTTGATACATGGCAATGACATCTGCAAAGGTGGTCAAAAAGGCACAGTGACAGAAATGACATTGGCATCACAATGTCCCACCCCTTTTGTACATGCACCAACATAAAATATATAAATGAAAGAAGTGGGCTTGCAATACTGCTTCTGTCATCCCTTTTGATCTTTCCTGTCTGCAGATGCTGCTGGTACCATAGAAATATTGTTACTCCTCTTCTGAAGGCATTCACTTTTAGAAAATTGCACAGGTTTACATTCCAACCAGAGGAAATAGAGGTACTCTTCTGTTTCACTCTAGAGCAGGTGTGTCAAACTGGCGGCCTGCGGGCCAGATGCATCATGCGTAGGTCACACCCTCCTTAGCTCCATAAATGGGAAAAGCATCGCGAAATGTGACGTGACAGCAATGTGATGATGTGTCAAGTTCGACACCCGTGCTCTAAAGTTATTCTTTCTTCTTTTTTTAAAAAAAGAGTCTGAGCATTTTAAAAGGGGAAAAAACAGAAACAAAACCAAAAAAGCACAAAGTACAGGTAGTCATCCAGCCTACCCAGTCGTGGGACTGAATCTCGTATTTTGAACAGGATTACTCCCTCCTTTAACCCACACATTCACTAATCGAATGTGAGGCTCGGTAAATGCACATGAGGTATTTCAGGATGGGGAAGGCCATGGGGACCTAGTGATGGAACCACCAGACTAAGAACACCCAAGGCCTCTCCACCCCACTGAAATATTTCATGCTCCCACATATGCTTTTCCCATTCACACAAGCTGCCATGCTGTGTCACTTACCATACCAAGATCTCGAAAGCAGTCTCCTCTCCAGCCTATCAGCTGCACTCGCCCTTCTGCAGCTCCATTTTGGTATGGGCAACTTCGTCCGGCACTTTGCCGGCCAAATTGGAGCTCTGTTTAGGCCCTTGTAGGCGTCACCTGGCATTTTGCCAGCCAAAATGGAGGTTCAGAGGGGCGGATCAAGATAAGTATATGTCTTAATCACACTAATCAGCAGAATATGAAAAAATTATATTCTTATATTTGTTAGCGAGAAATATATTCTTATTTAACAAACTATTTTCAATTTAAATGTTAAAACTTTATGTTCAGAGAAACTCACATTTTGGGTGTGATATAAGCCCATGAACAGAACTACAGTCTAGAAATTGATTTTTGTGTTAAATTATATGTCAGCTTTATTTTTCAACTACAGGTTATTTTAGACATTTTAAGACAGGGGTGTCAAACTCAAGGTCAGATCAGGCCCACGGAATGCTTAGATCTGGCCCTTGGGGCCACCTTAGAAACAGTGGACCAGCCCGCAGTGCCTCTGCCAGCGAAAACGGAGCTCAGGAGGGCTGCATGGCCCCCAAGGTCAAGCACAACCTGATGCGGTCCTCAATTGAACCAAGTTTGACACCCCCGTTTTAAGACATACTGCCACAAATTAATATTTTATTCATCTACTGAAGGAATTGTACACACTTTCCAGTGCAAAGCAGAATATCCTAGCAGCTGCTGGCATGTACAAAGCTAGTTTGGTATACTTGGAACAATGATGTTAGCAATATTTAATAGAAAGATGGCATATTGGAAAAGAAATTCAACTTCTAGAATTTGCTTTACTCTGTTAGAAATCTTTTAATCAAACTGCTGATGAAATGCTTACTACATTGTCGTCAACTATGGAAGAATGAGCCAACCTGACCAAGAGCTTTTAGAAGATAAATTAGCTGATTAATCAATACTGAACTTATATCTGTAAAACAGCTTACGGTAGGAATTTTGTTTAGAGTAAGTTTATTTAACAATTGTTAGAGGCTGTGTTAATTTGAACAATTCTGGTGTTGTACATAAGCAATGGAAATAATGAATTAACATCCTACTAAGGCTGCAGGGTACTAGAACTGTTGCAAGCAGCATGTCCTGTGTATATTTCTGAGCCAGCAGTATTTCAATTGTTATATATAAAATCTTATGCTTGAGTGATATTTCACTCTGACTTTATATACCGGTAATCTCAGTAATAACCCATCTAAATAATGTCTTTTAATTTTAGAAAACTAATGAAGTCCACAAGGTTAAAAAATGTTTTTTTGCTGATACTGTATAGCTTGTATCTGACATAATGGGTCCAGACTAGACACTTTTGGGCACACTTTTTAAGGGAATGAGTCTGAACTATCATATGATGCTATTATTATATTTTCCACATTTAATAGGCTGAAATTAGCATGCCTTTAAACACGATGATCAAATTTAAAGTTATTGTCTCCTCAGAAGCATAAGTGGATATCTTATTGCAGACTGAGTCATTGTGCTGTTTAAAGAAACCCCTTCTCCCCCTCCCCCCAAAAAAAAACTGTTAGGAAAAGAGCATAATCAGTAGATAGCTGGATCTGAGATAAAAATGAAGTTTTATAAAATATTTAAAAAATAAAATTAAAAGGAAGTTCTATTTCCATAATGAAACCGACCAGAAGACCTTGGAGCAAATTTGTCTTTTATGGAAAAAAAACCACTCCCAGAAACCCTGATCTCATAGAATGTCTTTAGAAGGCTATCCAAATGCTGTCAGGAAAGATGCCACCTGAAATCGTAGAAACGAAACTGAAAGAGCTCAGAACCCACACAGCAGAAACGAATCCATTTTCCTAATATGAACACTTAAAAAACCACGCCTTCCTCTTCATCCTGGAGCAGGGTCTGCTGGTTGCAATCCCCAGAAAAAACACCGTGTCCTATTACTGGCCCATAAAGCCAGGGAATCACCCAAATAATAACATCTGAAATCTTACGACTCGGTATTAGCGTTCTGCTACAATGATAATTTTTTTCCGCCCAGTACACTGGAAAGTCGCTTACAAGGCAAGACTTCGGGAGAAGCCAATGCACTAAGAAACAGCAACAACTTATTGCTTGGCGGGTGGGAACCGGATCTCACTCCGGTTCAAGCAGGGGAAAACAGCCTAGACATTCATTCCAATGGGATGGTGCAAAAATAAGAGCGGGAAGACAAGTTTCCTCCCAAGATGCTAACCTCACTGTCCTACGCATTGCAAAGCTCGCCGGTTTTCCTCTGTGGAGGAAAATACCGGCTCTCCTCCTAAGTCGTCAGCCCACAGGAAGAACTGGTATGAGTTTGCCAGACCTGTTGGGGACTCCTGGAAGGAGCCGAGACCGGCATTTCGCAGTCCGAGCCCGAAATCTCTCCGTCTTCGACATCCTGCTCCATTCTTGGAACTTCCGACGCCATCTTCCCCCGCTCAATTAGACCAGGAGCCGCGAAGAGGCAAACCTTTAAGGCACGGCCTTAAAACCAGAAAAACTACAAAGACCACAATGCCTCGCTCTGAGGAGAAAAGGCGGAACCATGAGCATTTCCCGCCCGCCATTCTCGAAACTTCGTGGGAATTGTAGTCTTTTAATTTCTTTCCGCCCGAGAATGTACATCCGTTTTCTATATTGAGAGATTTCCCGCGTTGGTCTTTTCAGACCTGTATTTTATGCCGCAAAATCTAAAACCCGGATGCCGGGATTGTTTTCTCAGGATACAAGAAAGAAGGGACGATGATGGTGAAAAACATCTATCGTATATTAGTTATAATCACATGACACGACATGTCCATTTTGTTAGATGTCTGTACACATTGTGATGGGTGTTGTACTGGTAGACCAAGAGTCATTGATTTGGGGGTGGTAGGCATTTTCAGGTTTTGTCAAAAAGAAGAGTTTACAATTAACCCTAACAGCATAAAATATAGCAATCGCTGACTATCATTTAAATAAATGTTCCTGATTTACTTAATCCTTTACCTTTTCTGTCATACTGTAACATCGCAAATACTGTATATGTCTTTCAAGATGCATCTACTCTTTATTGACTTTGTAAGATTCACACCCCATGAAAAAGGCCTTGTGATTTTTCTGTGAGATTATGTGAGATTCTAATCCTGATACTTCAACTGCTTTTTTTTGTGGGGTTCGTTAATTCAAACAATACTGGGACATTACATGGCATCCCGCAACATTGTGTCCCAATGTCCATCAAGAGTTTATCCAGGCCCAGTGTCTGATTTTTTCAACATAGACCACCCTGTCTTTGAATGGCTGGGTGGACATTAACATTTGAATCACTTTAAGTCCATATATTTGCTATACACTAAATAAATATATATTGTCAGAAAAACCTCTAAGCTAAAATCAAAGACTATTCAAGTCGATGCCATTACCTGGTCCTCATATAAAGTTCAACTTGCATGTTTAATCTTGGAAGTAAATGATCAAGGAATAAAGCTGGGTCTAAAGATTAGTGAAACTAAGCAAGAGAATGGCTCAAGAGGCAGGTATACTATTTAATTAACAATGCAAATCAAACATCCCTTTCTAGTTAGTGTCTGCTGATAGTTACAACAAAGAAAGGTATGACTAATAACTAATTAAAATGTTTAGGGGAATATTTGTACTGAGATTATTTTATAAAAGAGGATAAACTCTGACATTTAGAAATCAGGTCTGGTATGAAATAGATTTTAGTCCAGTACATTCATGCTTCCATAATATACTATACAATACATAAAAAGTATGGATTAATGACGAGTATTGCCATTTTACTGTTACTGTGGCTTTATCCTAGCCAAGTGATCTACTGCTGGGCTATCAGCAAACAGCATTTCTTTTGCTACTCTGTAGCGGTCATATTGATTTTTGCATGGTAAGCTCCTTTCCAACGCATGCCAAGTTATTAAAAACGATTCAATATTTCTGTTGCAAATCTAAAATAAAGTGTTTTTATTATTTCTCGTGATGTAACTGTTTCTAATTGTCTTGGACTGCTCCAAGGGTGAGATACACAAATTTCCTAAAAGAAATTCCGACAGGGAAAACGCTTAAGTGCTGCTGACCGTAAACCGTGCCTACAAAGCAGAAGCATTTTACAGGTGGCTCTTTACAGGTGTGAGTGAACATGCGTTTGACTTCTGCAGCCATTGCATAAACTTTCTTCGCGCCTTTGCCTTTAAGATGGGCGAGAGAGACAAAAAGCCGGAGCCCCCAACATGCAGAGAGGATGCGCTGAGTCGACGCTAGATGGAGGCGTGACTTATTTGGTCCTCCAGGCAAGGGTGGACTGAGCGTTTTGCCTTCGCCAATCCGGGCTCTGCGTTTGGGGGTGGGTTCTTGACGGACGCCTCTTTGGCCTATGGGTGATTTAAAGGTGCCACGGCCCTTTTCTCGCTATGCTGCTGCAAGTTGGACTTTCGTTGCTCGCCAGGCGTGCTCTGCTAAGGAAGAGCCTCTCCTTCACAGCTTCTTGCAATAGACCGGTCGCCTTCATGTCCACCTTGCTGATCAACCAAGCCCAGTACGCGTGGTTGAAAGAATTGGGGCTTCGAGAAGAAAACGAGGGAGTTTACAATGGCTCCTGGGGAGGAAGAGGAGAGGTAGGCTTGCAAGGCGGGGTGGGAGCCACTTTGATGGACAGCCGTAAAAGCTAAAGAGGAATGTCCTGCGGGCGCTTTTTGAAGTTGTTTCTCCAGTTCTTTGAGACGTGCGTCGCGCCTGCGGTTTTGAATTTCTCATGGTTTTTTTCCTTCGCATTTTAGAATAGAATAGAATAGTATCCTTTATTGGTCAAGTGTGATTGAACACACAAGGACTTTGTCTTGGCCCATATGCTCTCAGTGTACATAAAAAGACATGAAAAGATACAAGTATTTTAAGAAACGTACTCACGTCTCATATTAGAATTGTCAGAAAGAGACCAGTCCCGGTTTCACCATTCATTTATCTTGGTTCAGAAAGAGAATGCGTGTCTTTCAATCCTGCAGTTTCTTTTGGCTCCTTCCCTCTTTTGCTACTTTTACCAGCAGATAGACCTAAAACACTGCAGACCGTATAGTTTTCTGATTTACTCTCCTCGTAATATTTCTCCATAACTTGACTTTATGAAGATAGCCAGGTTGAATCACCTGTGTCACACTTAGGTACACTTCCATGGGCTGGTGATCTTACGGGTATTGGGGTTATGTGTTATGTTATATGTTACTGTCTGTATCCCCACCCCTATAAGTTGTTAGCCGCCCTGAGTCCCCTCAGGGAAAAGGGCGGCCTATAAACTTATTCAATTCAATTCAATTCATATCCTGGAAACCCTAATCAATTTGGCCAAAATTGTTGTGAAATTTAGTAATTGTTTTTCCAGGACACAAGCACTGTCATTTTGCAGTCAAGCAACTAAGTCTCAAATAATAGGTGGCATGTGGCTAATTAGTAAATTCCAAAGTTAAGATGACCAGGGTGATTATCACAGAACTGATAGAAACTTAGAAGCAATCACATTCTTCTTAGTTACCTGCTTGGTGCAGGATCTGCAGGGTGGGATGTATTACAGTATCCTGCCTGTTCAAAAGCTTCCTGAGAGAAAAGGAAAGCCTGCTGCCACCAGCTATCATCTGAGCCTTGTCCCAAAGCTGATGCTTTTTCAATTAATATGTGCTTGAAACTTATCTTCCTTGCAATTTTTTCTTTTGGATCTGAGCTTTTCCATAGAAGCACAGAGGCAGTTTTGCATTTCAGGTCTTTGAAAACCATCAACATGTCTTGCTCTTTTCTTCCGCATTTAGCATGCATCTACTTCTTGCATGGATTGATTCCTGGACTTTTGCCTTTTGCCCGAACTCATTCTGATTTATCAGTTCCTACAATGTGACTTGGCATAAAAACTACTTGATTGATTTGGATCCAGCCAATGCCACAGATTGTGCCAGCTTTTGACCATGAGGTTTATGATTATAGGGATGGTTACTAAATGGGACTGAAATGTTTTTTTTTCTCTAGGTTGTGACAACCTACTGTCCTGCAAATAATCAGCCCATAGCTAAAGTTCGCCAGGTAAGATTTTTTAAATATATATTTGACTCTTTAATAAAATGCATCATTAGGGGGGAAAATAAGCAGATTTCAAGGCTGGTGTGTTAAGAAAGTTCATGAGATGGGTGAGAAATGCAGACTAGCTAAAAGCAATGTAAGTAGAAAATATTACAGGTTATCTTCCCCCCTCCCCCCCCCCTTACTGGATGCAGATTTTCTGTAGAAATAGGGCTAATCAGTGTTTTAATAACAATAAAACCTTCAAACTAAACTTGATTATGGATGACTTTATGAACACATCTGTTTACTTTCCAATTCTCCATTGACTTATTACAAGGTGAAATTTATGTTATCACTATGTCCATTGCAGCATTTTTTACTGTTTGATTTCAGGCAAATTTGGAAGATTATGAAGAAACAATAAAAAAAGCTAAAGAAGCTTGGCAAATATGGGCAGAGGTGAGTTAAATCTCTTTATATTTTCCTGAATTGTATCTGGGGAAAAAATATTTTTCAGTAGGTATGACTCCTAAGCCAATCAGGAGAGATTTATCATAGAAAGTGCCTCACGCATTTTTGAAATAAATAAAATTAAAACAACAATTTGAAGTTTTACCTGAAATGTATTTAGAAATACTCTAATTCAGTGTTCAAACTTGGCAACATTTAAGATTTGTGAAATTCAACTCCCAGAATTTTCCAGCCAGCAAAAGGTGCCAAGTATAAAAAACAGTAACCATATCCTTAATGGGATCATATTCAAATTAGATTAAGTGGCTGCATCTTGAATGCTAGGAATGGTTTTGATAGGGACTCTAAAGTCTGTATTTTTTTCAGATCTTCTTCAAATATTCTACATGATATGAAACCTGTCAACCAATACAAATTTCTATAGAAAGAGGAATAACTTAAATTTATTTTGTCAACTAGTATCAACTAGTGTTTTTTCCTATACGCTTTTAAAATCTGATCCTATTCATTCAGGTTCATTTGAGAGTAAGTTCAAGTATATTTCATAGAACTTACTTCCACTTAAACAGTGTATGATATATTAACCAAAATAAATGTTGGAATATGACCAAATTTCGCTAACTTCCATTCTTCTGGTTCAAGTAACTTGATGGCATTTAAAAATACTATATGGGCTGAGGTGGTGTAGTGGGTAGAATGCAGTACTGCAGGCTACTTCTGCTGCCTGCCGACTGCCTGCAATTTGGCAGTTCAAATCTCACCAGGCTCAAAGTTGACTCAGCCTTCCATCCTCCCGAGGTTGGTAAAATGACCTAGATTGTTGGGGGCAATATGCTGACTCTTAAACTGCTTAGAGAGGGCTGTAAAGCACTGTGAAGTGGTGTATAAGAGTAAGTGCTACTGTTGCTATATTTATTTCAAAAAGTGTACAGGTAGTCCTTGGCTTGTGACCACAATTGGTACCGGAATCTTCGTTACTAAAAATGCAGTCATTAAGCTTCTAGAAATGTGACATTTGATTTTATTACCATTTTTCCCATGGTTGTTAAGGGAATCACATCAGTCATTATACAAATTTGATAGTTAATAAGTGAATCATATGATAATTAAATGAATCCAACTTTGCTTAGGAGAAGCCAGCTGGGAAAGTTGCAAATTGAAGTTATGTGACTTCAAGATGCTCAAACATTGTAAATGCAAGCTACTTGCCAAGCATCTGAATTGCAATCATGCCGGTATGGGGGTGTTGCAATGGTTGTAATTTTAAAGACTGGTTGTGAGTCACTTTTTTGTATGAATTTTGTATGAGTTTGGCAAAGTATGCGGGATTCTGAAAGACTAGACTTAAGCACATAATTTTTCTTTGCTTTCTTTTTATAGGTTCCTGCACCTAAACGAGGAGAAATAGTGAGACAGATTGGAGATGCCTTAAGAGACAAAATCAAAGTTTTGGGAAATTTGGTAAGTTTTTGCCTTTGAATTGATATCATTTCTAAATTAGTAAAAAGAAATGCAGACAGCAATTCTTGTTGTGTTGCTTCTGGGGTGCGTTGCTAACTTAATCAATTAGATTTCTAAACATTGACAGATGCCATTACACTGATATGACAACAAACTTGGTTTCTTTTAGCAGGCATTGATTAAAGTTGATGACAGTAAATGCTAGAAATATACCAAAAAAGGAGGCATGTTTTGCATTCCAAACAAAACAGCTTGAAATATTCCTTTGAACTTCCTAAATTGGTTGTTATGACAGAATAAAAATGTAAAAATAGGAATTTAAAATAATTTAAGCATGTCATTTCTTGTGGGATAATTGGACTTTCCTCCAAAAAATTAATCATTCCAAATTTCTGTTGTTTGAGTAGCAGCTAGAAGTCAGCATTCATTACCAATCCACCTATTAACCAATCCAAAAACAGTGTTTTTTTAAAAAAAACTTTCCGGTCTTCTTGACTAATAGGACAAAGTGATAAAAAAGGCCTTGGGTGCCTGTGTTTTGTTCAACCACAAAAATGCTATTCTTGCATCAATAGTTCTTGTGTTTTAGTTTATCTCCAAATTCAGCATTACAAAGCACAAGAACTGAGTGTTCATAAATTAGACTCATTAGATAAATCCACACAATTCCATTGCATTGGTATTTTCATTTACACCTGTCAATCACAGCAGCGTGAACAATTGATTGGTTGCATAGATAATGCAATTATACAAATAGAAAAAGACAGATTTCTTCCTTTAAAGTATGCTATTGTGTAAGGAGGATCTAAGGAAACTGTAAGGATTCATGTTCCATGTGATTAATGTTTTCTTTAATGCCTTTAGGTATCATTAGAAATGGGGAAGATCTTTGTTGAAGGTGTTGGTGAAGTCCAAGAATATGTAGATATCTGTGATTATGCTGTTGGTTTATCTCGGATGTTTGGTGGAGCCATGCTGCCTTCAGAAAGTAAGCCTGCATTTTTGCCTGCATAAGAATTTTTCTGGATTAAAGTAATTTGACATAGAAAATCTCAGTAATAGAATATTGGATGATTTTCGACATAGGTAATATTTTAGATTTATATGCTTCAGGAAAACCTGAAATACTTTCTTATCCCAAGCAGACATTACATCAGCTTTGCATAAACTTGGTCAAAATATATAATTTACAGATTTTCTTCAGTCTGTAGGAAATACAAATGACACAATAGTTTCTACCTCTATATAAATATTCATCCCTCTCCACTGATCTGCTTCAGGGAGAGAGGGAAAACAAGGAAGAAAAATCACTGTAGTACCAGTAAAAATCTTCAGTGAGGTTGCATATATCTCTATATGCTTGTAATCATTGAGTTACGACTGTGATTGGGATTGGAATTGCATTAATAAAATGGGATGTCCTGTGACTGCATTGCCTAGCACCTCCTATAGTTTTCGTAATCCCAGATGTATGGGTCATTAAGTGGGAAGTGATCGAATCCCACTTAAAGAGTGGGGCTGTTCCAGGGAAGTGGGGAGGCCCAGCTCAGGTGCAGGATGGGATAGAGAAAGTGAGTACAGGTGCAGGAGGGACACTGAGTACAGGTGCAGGAAGGATAGAGAAAGATAGTGTAGGTTATGTGTGATTAAAGGTAGGCCGTGGAAAAACAGTGTGGGGTATGTGCAAGCACAGGAAGACCAGAAAAATAGACAGCAAAGTGCATTTCTGCGACCCCAGGAAAGCTGAGGAAAGAGGCTGCAGGGTGCATGTGAGTGAAGAAGGAAAAGAGGGCACAGTGCATGCAAGCAGACGAGGGCTGGAGTGGAAGAGTTTTATCCAAGAGTCTTATGTCCTTTCCTTGCCATTTTTTCCTATTGATTTTGCTTGTGGGAAGCTGGCAGATGGCGATCACATGATTGTGGGATGCTACAGCCAGTAAGTGCGAGCTGATTGCCAAACACTCGAATTTTGCTTATGTGTCTGCTGTGGTGCTGCAACAGCTGGAAATTTGAGGACCAATTTGTTCAGTGCTCTCGTAATTTTGAAGAGTCATGAACAGTGGTAATAACTTGAGAATTATCTGTATGTTTATTTGGGAAGAAAGTTCAACCTTGAGAATGGATTTGCCATAAAAAGATGTGCCATATTTGAAAACCATATTTTAAATTCAAATAGGTTTGGCCTGTTTATTGAATTGAGCCTTTCTTTGGATTTTTTGTTCTTGGGTTTGTTTTCTGTTATCTACTAACTTATATAAACTTGCTGCTTGATATAGGGCCAATTTTAGTAATTCACTCTAACAATAGAAGAGTTGTTGTAACAATAAGTGTGGATACTTTTTATATATGTGCCTGATATCCTTGGACAATGGGATAGATAAGTAAAGAAAGAAAGAAAAGCCTGCACTTGCCAAACAAAACTCCTGTTTTTGCTTTTAGGACCCGGACATGCCTTAATAGAACAATGGAACCCTTTGGGATTAGTTGGCATTATCACAGCCTTTAATTTTCCGGTTGCAGTTTATGGCTGGAACAATGCAATTGCTCTCATCTGTGGCAATGTCTGCCTGTGGTAAGGTATTTTTTCCTAATTTCAGAATGAGTGTTTTCGGTGGCATACTTTACACGTTATAAAAATGTTCGGGCACATAGACTACAATGAAAAGAACAAAAATTCAAAATGATATAAAGCCAATGTAGTAAGCAATAAACCTGCACGATGAACAGTAAGAATTTCTTTTCTCTGGAATTTGGTTAGCTTTTTAGCACTAAGGCAGTTCCTAAGGGGAAGGAAATTAAAATCCTATTCCTGCTCTTTTGACAAATAGGTGCTGTAGAAAGTCTCAATTTAAAAAGAGCTAGGAAGATTTATTAGTGGCAGAGGAGATAATTTGGGCTCAAAGTGGGATTAATATTCTCAGTCAAATAATATTTAAGCATCACAAAAAAACTACAACTACCCTACACAGCTGAATGCCAATGTATACAGATGCCGCATTTACATTCAGAGCCCAGTTTTACCTCAAGTGTGTTTGCACTATTCTGGATAAGGCAGGTTCTCTAATCTAGGGACTATTCAGCAAGTGAACCTATTATTGCCTGTACAACTCAGAGGTAGTCAAGAGTACCGAAATATACTTAGGATGCCAGTTTGCTTCTTTGAAGCAAAGTAATGCATTGCCAAATTGATGGTTTACAGGAAGTCCTCTGTTTACAACCACAATTGGGATTGGAATCTTGGTCACTGAGTAAAGCGATTGTTAAGTGAGACACCTGTCTGACTGCTTGGCTCAATCTCAGCTCCCTCAGTTGTAGTCCTTAAGTGTTGGTAACTAAGCAGATGGAAGGAAGATGCTATCTGCTGAAGGAGGGCAGGTAGTTCCCATTCTCTCATGCATTTGCCTAGAAAAATGAAGTTTGGGTCTTTGCAATCCCTGCTTCATTTCTCCAGGCCTGCATGGAATCCCTCTTCTCTCTGTGCACAGAAGGCAATTCCTGAGCTTGGTTGGAGAAAGAAAGAAAAACGACTTTCATTTTTGAAGCCCAGTGAAAGATTTCCGGGGAAGGGAAATCCTTTGGTAGGCAGCAACAGCAGCAGCTTGCAAGTTTCTCTGACAGCTTCCCTATTGACTTTCTGGGGAAGGCAGTAGAAAAGTTTGCAAAATTGTGATTACGTGATTTTGGGACACTTGGCAATCAGTCATAAGAGCAAACAGGAGGCCAAACATATCACAATCACATGATTGGGGGGGGGGGTACCAGTTTATAATGCCTGGTGATTGCTTTAAGATGAACCGTAAACCACCATTTATGATCTGTTGTAACTTCCAATGGTACTTAAAACCACTGATTGTAAATCAAGGACCACTTGTATATATAACTGGTGGCTATGTGCCATTTGTAAATGGTACAAAAACATTGACTATTACAACTGCTAGTTGTACAGAACAACTATATTTCTTCAGGAAATTAATTGATATTTTATCTCATTTACAGCATTCATATTTTAGTTAACATATTAGATGTTAATATATATTAGATGGCATTTCTTTAAAAGGATGTGATATAAGACAGTGATCCTTTACTTACTGAGTTAATACTGCAGTAAAGAATTCCTGTTGTTTCTCTACATCAGTGTTTTTCAACCTTTTTTGTGCAAAGGCACACTTTCTTCATGAAAAAAAATCACGAGGCACACCACCATTAGAAAATGTTAAAAAAATTTAATTCTGTGCCTATATTGACTATATATAAAGTAATTCTCCCATGGCACACCTTACACTATGTCACGGCACACTAGTGTGCCGCGGCACAGTGGTTGAAAAACACTGCTCTACATGACATGGTAAAGAACCTGCCATCACTTCATGCTGGCATAGTGTAGCTCCTGTCATCTATGCTGCCAAGATAACCACAAATCACCATCTTTTCTATTGATAAGTCTTGATCATTAGGCACTTCCCAAGATTTCTAGTGGTTCAGGTTTCAAAAATAGCTTTCCATGCCTGCCATACATGAGGTACTGCAGTTTGGGTCATTGTTAAAGGAGCAAGCAAACCATCCTCATGCTTTGCATCAGGTTGGTGAATGCACAAAGCCACCCCAATTTACGCTACTACCAAATTGTGAAATATGATAGTTTAAACGCTGTTTGTGAACCGCATTTGTGCTCAAGTAATTGAGTTGAAAAAGTAAATGCTGCAAAAGTGGGAACCAACATACTGAGTAGTAACCACATGGTGAGTTTTTTTTTCTTTTTATTGCATGTCAACCTGACAATTCCTGCACGGGAATAGCTAATTGATTTTAGAAACAAATGGCCAAACAAGTTAGTAAAATAGCCTTATTCATAACAAGATAATTCTAAAAATAGAAACAATAACTCTTTACTAGATTGTATGAGATAAAGGGTAATCATGTGATTAATTTTTCTTTTGTTATAACTCAGATTATAATTTTTCTGAAACTGCTTTTCTGTCAAACCCTTTAGCACAACACTCAATTGCATTGCCTGCTCTGGGCTTCTGAGGTGCTTTCTTAGAATTGGGATTGGCTGTTTAAAACTTGGATTACGACATATAGAAATCTCTTTATGATTTCAGTAGGCTTGGTTTTTAGAAAAAAACTTTTTAGACTGGTAATTATCCCATCCTTCTGTAGTTTTTGGTGCTTAATAAACGTAGCAATATGACTTAAAATACCATTTATTATTCATGTGAATTTAGATTATTTCTATGTCTAAGAATATTTATCTCTTCCCCCCACCCCCATTCCTTCTAAAGGAAAGGTGCACCCACAACATCGCTCACCAGTGTGGCTGTTACGAAGTGAGTTTCTTTCCTTTATTAATATGACTTGCATGCAGTTTCAATTTTATTCTGTCTTCTGCATCGCTTCAAGAAGTTGTTTGATTTTTCACCTTTTTGCCCTTTTTCTGAGTTGGCTGCCTGGACACCCAACGGTACACATGCATGCATGAAGTCATTCCAGACTTAAAATCTCTACAGTGAGGTGATGTGGGAAGTAGAGGTAGTAATCAACTTATGAATGGTCACTTAGCGACTGTTCAAAATTACGACAGCTTCCCCTCCCAAAGCTACTTACAACCTAATTTCAAAGTTTAGACTGCTACAACACAAACACATACAGCAGCAATTATTTGCCCTTAAGACTGACACTCTGCCTATCTCCCCCCCCCCCCATGCTTCCCTGCTGGGTCCCTGCAAACTTTGGGCCAGTGATGAAATTCAATTAATTTTACTACCGGTTCTGTGGGTGTGGCTTGGTGGGCATAGGACAAGGATACTGCAAAATCTCCGTTCCCATCCCACTCCAGGGGAAGGATACTGCAAAATCCTCATTCCCTTCCCACTCCTGGGAGAAGATATTGCAAAATCTCAATTCTCACCCTACTCTGGGGCCAGCTAGAGGTGCCATTTGCCAGTTCTCCGAACTACTCAAAATTTCTGCTACCGCTTCTCTACAACCTGTCAGAACCTGCTGAATTTCACCCCTGCTCTGGGCCTGCTTTGCCATGCCATTGGTTTTCACATGGTCCTCCTCACCTCAGTCACCATATCACTCACTTACCTTTTGAAGATCTCCAGAGCTCAGGAGGTCAGGGTAGAGAAGGACGACAGGTCACTTACATTGGTGGACCACTTAAGTAAGCAACACTTCTCTCTTTCATGAAAAAGAATTGTATTCAACAACATCTAGATACGCTTGCAAGATGAAATTGTCAAAAGTGAAATCTTATTAGATATCTATCCAAACTAATTTTATTTTCCCCATTGGAAAGATTGTATTAATGATTGTCTTATTTTGATTACTAGAATAATTGCACAAGTCCTAGAGAAAAACAAGCTGCCTGGCGCCATTTGCTCTCTGGTTTGTGGTGGAACAGATATTGGGTAGGTACAACATTTTGAATATTATGTAGATTTTAGACAATTTCCAGGACTACCAAAATCATGTTATATTTGGTTTGTTTCTAATCTTGTAATTCTTGATATAGTGATTCACAGTCCATTGGATTTCCAGTGTTTTCTGCACCAAGGTTGGAGATATGATTCTGACCTGGTAGAAAAAAGGTTAAGGTCAGATTTTCTCTCTTGCCTTCTTTTCAGCCTCTGTGGATCCTTCAGAAGTTGGGAAGTTGAAGAGGGACAGGCTTAGAGGTCTTCAATTCTGTTCCCCCAAACCTGAAATATGTTGGATCCAATTCAGAACTGGTCTAAATAAGCTCCTCTCATTGGGAAAGTTTTTTTTTTTTTAATGACAGAGAGGTGCAAGCCTGAGTCCAGTGTCACTTCTCCGTTGTGGACCTTATCCATTTATTAGAGTTTTCTAGAGTCTAGCTGTTGTATTTCTGAAACTTAGGGGTGCCACTTTCAATATTTGTGGTGTCATAGTAGTGTTTTTAGAAAAATGGCTTTCTTGTAGAAGGGATGAAGAGGGAAGAGAGAGGTAGGCAATGGCCAGAATATTAAAAGTCACACAGTGATTAACTGGGGTTGTCAAGTACTTGGTGCAAATCCAATTCTCTTTTTTACAGTTGGACTACTGTGTTTCCCTGAAACTACGACATGTCCTAATAATAAGGCCATGCCATATTTTTTAGGTGGGCAAATTGGCTATTGAGCAATTGCTCAATTGTCTATAAACCTCCTAGAGTTACTGAAAGTTAGTGGGTGGCCATATAAATTCTCTAAATAAATAAGCTGCAGAGTTGTGAAGACAGCTCTTCAGGAAAGTGCTGGGGGCAATGAAGTTTAACCAACCCTATTGAGTGGAACATTTAGCAGAAAGTCCTGTTATATTGTATGACTGTTATTTAAACTTGTTATTGATGCATTCTATCAATGGTAGAAATTGCTCAGAGCCTTGAAAATTATTGGACAGCATAGCAAATTAATTAATCCAAATGAATTCTATCCTCAAATAATAATGTATTTCCTTACCTCCTTTGCTCCATTTTTCTTCCATATTGTTGGCTGAATTTAAGAAAGGGGAATTGTTATATAGAGTGCCACTTAAATCACTGTTATATAAGAAAACAACAATTTTCAGTGGACATACTGTAGATTGGTGCAATTCCAAGCATAGAATTGCAGTTTAAATGTGCTGCCACTGGTAAAATGATTAGAAAAAGTAGCTGTACTGAAAAGAAAATGAATCTGAATTGACAAATTGTTTCTCCCTCAATACAATTTTATAAAGGATAAAATGGATTGTTTGCTTTTCTGCAACTTTGGTGTACCATTAATTTATATGGCATTGTCTTGAAGCTGAATTATTTTTTAGAAATTTCGAAACAACAGGGAAGAAATTGAGACATGCCTTTGTAGTTGAGAATTGTACCATATAGATTGCCTTCTATTTATAGGAATCAATATAGTACATAGAAGTATATAAGCCTTCCTATTGAGTTATTTTTAAAAATCAGTTTGGAAAATAAAATCCGGTGAGCATTTTAATAACAGGCAGGGACCTGGAAAATTTACGGTCCAGGACACTACAAAAAACTTTTTGATACGGAAACCATTGTATGGCCTTACTGAAAAGGCTTGTGGAATAGGGAGAATGAATAGAGTTCCATTTTTTTTTCTTTCCGTAGTTGTCTTCTCATTCTATTTACCAAATGTAAGTCTCTCTTCCTATACATAACATCCATACAGAGCCATATAGAGCAGAATACTAAAGCATTTGCCATTCTATTCATGCTGTATAAATAACATTCTTGAAAGAATTCTCATTTATGATGGAGCAAAATGATATGAAGAATGTAATAGAGCATTATCAGATATTCCACTGTTGTTATCGCAATAGATTTTAATGATAATTAACAAGAACTGCTGTCTAACTCTACTTTTTCTACTAATGACTGAAAATATTTCTGTATTGTCTTGTGTAGCACTGCAATGGCAAAAGATGAGCGAATTGATCTGCTTTCCTTCACTGGCAGCACCAATGTGGGCAAGCAGGTAGCTCTTACAGTCCAGGAGAGATTTGGTGAGTATAATATTTCAAAATTTTTGTCATTTTCTTTTAATGTATGAAAGAGAAGTGACCAGCTTCAAATTCGTTTGCAGATGTATTAACAAATTATGGCATTGGCTTATTGTTCAAAGTCATTGTTTCTATTACTGTTGAATTCAACATTCTTGGAGAGACATGGGTTTCCTACCAAGAATTTATTTATTAATAAAATTTATATGCCACCCAATCCCGAAGGACTCCGGGCGGCTTACAAAAGAAGAGGAAGAAAGAAATAATAAAAAAGACAGATTTAAAATCACAACACATGCATTCGTTCTAATCGGGGCTGGACCTCAACATTGAGGTCAACAGCCCCAGGCCTGCTGGAATAGCCAGGTTTTAACAGCTTTCCTGAAGGCTATGAGAG